TGCTGGCTAAACCCGGGTGGACTGCCACCTGCCAAGGGTCTCTTCAACCCCCTCCACGGTCGCCAAGCCCTGAGAGCCGCTGATGCACTATCCAACCCGGTTTGAGAACCGTTGACCTGTTTTCTCTTAATGAATTTCATCACCCTTTTCTAGCATGTTCTAGAGAATGTCAAGTAAGGTATTAACAAATGCTCAGTGAAGGAGAGGTTCCAAGATTGTTCTGGCACACCTCCCTTTTCAGACAGAGAACATTTTGATTCTTCTGAGATGGAAATGTCAGGGGCTGGTGTGATAACCCAGCGGGGTGGGGGTGGGGTGGGGTGAAATGCTTGACTTGTCTGGATCCCCAGAAAGTCACGGTGCTGCGCTCCTCTCAGCCCAGCTCTGTCAGAGAAGCTGAGACAAGAGGGTCCCGGGGAGGCCGTGAGCCAGCTAGCCTGCTCTGTGTGGTGAACTTTCAGGCCAATGAGAGGCCCAGTCTCAAACCCAAAGGGGAGGGGGTGCCTGGGGAAGGACACTCAAGGTTGTCCTCTGTCCTCCACACACTGTCTATGTGCACCCGTATCAACACACACACACACACACACACACACACACACATACACACACACACACACACGCATAGTGAGTGGAGAAAATGATAGGATACTGAGTCATGGGATCTGGACACAGACAAGCATATGCCCTTTATTTCTTCTTATAAGTAAGAACCAAATGACAGTTACTAAACTTGTCACGCTGGCATCTGCTCAGGTGCCACTCTTAGGCCTTCTGACTGCTCTGAGCTAGTGAGGGACAGGACCTACGGGCAATGAAGTCTTGTCTGACGTCTACAGAGATTGCCCCCCCCCCCAAAGACCTGAAAGGGTCTACAGATCCCTTTCTTCTTGTCAGTGTGCTGGCTAGTTTTGTGACAACCATCTGAGAGGAGGAAGCTTCGATTGAGAAAATGCCTCCATAAGACTGGACTGTAGGCAAAGCCTGTAAGACATTTTCTTAATTAGTGATTGATGGGGGAACCCAGTCTATTGTGGGTGGTCCTGGGTTCTATAAGAAAGCAAGCTAAGCAAGTCATGGGGAGCAAGCCAGTAAGCAGCACCCCTCCATGGTCTCTGCATCAGCTCCTGCCTCCAGGATCCTGCACTGTTTGAGTTCCTGTCCTGACTTCCTTTGATGATGAACAGTGATGTGGAAGTGTAAGCCAAATAAACCCTTTCCTTGGGCTGGAGAGATGGCTCAGAGATTAAGAGCACTGACTGCTCTTCCAGAGGTCCTGAGTTCAATTCCCAGCAACCACATGGTGGCTCACAACCATCTGTAATAAGATCTGGCGCCCTCTTCTGTATACATAATAAATAAATAAATCTTTAAAAAATAAGATAAAATAAACCCTTTCCTCCCCAAGTTGCTTTGATTGTGGTGTTTCATCATAACAATGATAACCCCCTAAGTAAGACACCTACAAACAGACAGTGTGAGCTCCTTGGTGACATCCAGTCACAACTTGTTAGAAATTTGGGTTGAAATTTGGGTGTATTCTTCATCCTTGTTTCTTTGAGAGGCTGCTCTGCTTTAAAAAAAACAAAAACAGCCGGGCGGTGGTGGCGCACGCCTTTAATCCCAGCACTCGGGAGGCAGAGCCAGGCGGATCTCTGTGAGTTCGAGGCCAGCCTGGGCTACCAAGTGAGTCCCAGGAAAGGCGCAAAGCTACACAGAGAAACCCTGTCTCGAAAAACCAAAAAAAAACAAAAAACAAAAACAAAAACAAACAAACAAACAAACAAAAAAACAGCAGACAACGTTGTTTACTTTTAAGTTCTTATTTTATGTGTATATACGTGTGTTTGTGTGGATATGTGCCAGATGTGCATGGGTGTCCTTGGAGACCAGAAGAAGTTGTCAGACCCCCCTGAAGCTGGAGTTACAGGTGGTTGGGAACCGCCTAACCGCCTAATGGGAGTGTTGGAAACCAAATTCCAAGTCATTTCTCCAGTCCCAACAACAGGGGTTTTAATAAAAGGCTTCAAGCAGGATGTGGTGCTTCGAATAAGAAGGTCCCATTGGTGTCTGTTTGAATGCTTTACTCACCAGGGAGCAGAGCTGCTTGGGAAGGATTAGGAGGTGTGGCCTTGTTGGAGGAGGTGTGTCACTTGGGGTGGGCTTTGAGGTTTCAAACACCATGGCAGAGTCTCTCTCCCTCTCCTTCTTCCTTTCCTCTCCCTCCCTCTCTCTCTCTCCTTCTCCCTCCCCCTTTCTCCCTCCTTTTTTTGTACCCTTCCCTCCCTTCTTTTCTCCCTCCTCTTCCCTTCTCTCCATCTCTTAGTTTTTCTTTCCTTTCTCTCCTTCCCCCCTTCCCTTCCCCTCCTCTCCCCTACTTCCCTTTCCTCCTAACCCCCCTCCTTGGTTACTCTTTTTTCCCCCCTTCCTCCTGGGTCCTTTCTCTCCCTCCTTCCCTCTCCCTTTCTGTTTCCTCTTTCAAAATTGTCCTCCAGCATCCCAGGCCAATTAGATTCTCCAGTGTTGAATAAAGTCCTCCACTTCCTCACTGGCTCTTTGGTCCACCTCCCAGATCTCAGTTTCCCCATCTCTGAAGCTAGTGTGAACCAGCAAAAAAGTTTCCTTGTGGGGGAACTTGAAGCACCTCAGATGGAGATTTTTGAAGGCGAGCATGCCGGCAAACACACACATACATACATACATACACACACACACACACACACACACACACACACACACACACACACACACACACACACACATTTAGCCTCCAGGCAAAGTGGAAGCGATGGAATTCTTCAGAACAATTGCAGGGAATCTCTTCCATTATCTCCATACTTGATGGAATTAGGCTGCTTAATCAACCAGCCCGCAGCCACCTTGGCCTCCCTCTCAGAACACACCCCACAACATTCTCTTCCCAGCACTCAGGAGGAGAGCAATCGACTCTTCTACTTTTTCCTTCATGTGCTGCCCTGGGACGCAGGTTCAGGCTTGCTCTTCACCACCAAGCCAGCTTAGTTCTCCGGAACTCTCCCTTGAAACGTCAGCCGCCCCGGGGCTTTGTACGCAATGAGCAAGCCCTTGACTAGCATTTCTGGCCCGATGAGAAGATTCTGCTCCTTCTGTGAGCCTACAGGGGGATTACTGTGAAGGTCTGCTGGCAGGCAGGGCAGCATGCCTGGGGAGAGGGAATCCGAAGGTCTGGCGGTTCATCAGCAGAAAGCCAGCCCAGGGCTCCGAGTTCAAACCCCACCCTGCTTACGGCTGTTGAGTTAAACTTGCCTCCCTTTCTGGAACTGGCTGTTACTTCTGCAGTCACACCCCTGGTCTCCTTTCTGGAAAAAGCAACATAACGTGAGGACCATTAGCCAAAGTAGCTTGCCCTCCTCTGGCCAAGAGGTAAGCTCACCATCGTGGCCATGCCAGACCAGGTCTCTCAGAAATCAGAAGGAAGGACTTGTCTGTGGTCTTGGAGCAAATCCATCCAGGCATCTGGAAATTTCCCTGGCCTCCCCTGGGTCTCCAGAGCTGGGGCAGTCTCTGTGTATTTCCAAAGCTGTTTGGCAATTACTTTCAGGTTGTAAAACCTCTCTAGGCCCTTCTAATTCTGTCTGTCTGTCTGTCTGTGAGCGCGCGCGTGCGTTCAGGGATGGAATGCAGGGCCTCATACGAGCCAGGCAAGCCTTCTACCACTGAGTTACACCCTCACCCCTCTCTCTTACTTGTTTTTTCTTGCTTGCTCACTTTTCTTTCCTCCTCCCTCCCTCCCTCTATTCAAGTTAGCCAGTCAAATCCCGCCTCTGGCCAAAGTGTCTGCTCCCAGGGCTGTTTGCCAGCTAAACACAAGCAGACACCGGCCAAGGAGGGCCCGTGAGCTCTGAAAAGGGGGCGGCTCACAAACTAAGCCGGAGCCCAGCTTTCTGCCTGGAAAGACACTTGAGGTTGTGACATGGGGCCAGATCCCAGCAGAGAGTGTGGCTTCCCCGTGAAGAGACAGGGGATGACGAGGTTGGAGCTTGTGGGGGTAAGTCACTCACTTAACAGTGCCACAGATTGGCACAGGGGACTCATTGGGTGAGAAACTGAATGCCAAGTTGCTCAGGCATTGGGCAACACGCTACAAAGCCCTGGCAGAGCACAGCCACGGGGTGGCACGAGCCAAGTCATTCCAGGAGTTCTTCTGGGTCTGGGGACGTTCAAGTTCTAGCAAGTAGAACAGGAGCAACGGGTGAAAACAGCCAAGGCATTTCCTGGAGACCATAGTGAGGCTAGACCTTGGTGGCAGGGCTAAAACAGCCTTGGGGCTGGAGGGGTGGGGGGGGGGATGTCTCTAAATCGAACACAACAAAAGAAATAAGCCTTGGAAAGTCGATTCGACTACCTGCCTGAACAAATCTTCTGAGGAAAATAGCCAAACCAGGTGTTCCATTGTGTGACACTCACGGTGTCCAGCACTGGTGACATGGCTGAACACCCGGAGCAGCACAGAAGTGTGCCCCCTACAGAGAGCACCGTCAGGCAATACCAACGGTTGCCAAATGCCCAGAGCCAGTGAACAGAGGGGGGCTGTGGAACGGTTTCATAAATAAAGCCAGAAATATGAAGAAGAGGGAGATGGGGGAGATGTCGCAGGGCAAGCAGGAGGACCCGAGTTCAATTCCCAGCTCCCATGTAAAAGTAGAATGTTGTTCTGGCTGGTTTTACGTCAACTTGTTCCAAAGCTAGAGTCATTACAGAGGAGGGAGCCTCAACTGAGAAAATGACTCCATAAGATCAGGTGGTAGACAAGCCTATACAGCACTTTCTTAGTTGGTGACCGATGGAGGAGGGCCCAGCCCATGCTGGGTGGTGCCATCCCTGGGTTCTACAAGAAAGCAGGCTGAGCAAGCCATGGGGAGCAAGCCAGTAAGCAGCACCCCTCCATGGCCTCTGCATCAGCTCCTGCCTCCAGGTCCCGTCCCGTGTCCCCCCCCCCCCCCCCCCCCTTGAGTTCTCATCCTGACTTTTTTTCAGTGAGGAACAGTCCTGTGGAAGTGTAAGCCAAATTAACCCTTTCCTCCCCAAGTTGCTTTGGTCAGGGTGTTTCAATCGCGGCAATTGTAAGCCCAACTGAGACAGACGTGGTTCCACGGCTCTGCAATCCCAAAGCTGAGGAGACGATACGGGAGGATCTCTGGGGCTCACAAGCTAGCCAGACGAGTTGAATCAGCATGCTCCAGGCTCAGTGACTCTGTCTCTGGCTGGAGAGATGGAGCAGCACTTAGGAGCTCTTCCTGGTCTTCCAGAGGACCCGAGTTCTGTTGTCAACCCCCTCCATTTGTCCGTTCACAAACACCTGTAACTCCAGCTCTGGAGGGATCCAACGACTGACGGCCTCTATGGGCACCTGCCCACATGCAGCCACGCATCATACACACGTTACTAAAGATAAATCAAAATTCATCTTTAAAAAACAAAGTGGTGGAAAGCAACTGAAGACACTGGATGTTGATGTCCACATGTAGGTGCACTCGCGCGCGCGCGCACACACGCACACACACACACACACACACACACACACACAGAGTGGAGACTGTTTAAAAATAAAGAAGAGGAAGAGGAAGAAAAGGAAGAGGGGAAGGCACCAGTCGGAACCTCTAGAGATGAAAGTCAATATCTTTTAAAAATTCATTAGTTTAATAGCACATTAAAGGCTGCGAAAGAAGATTATCAATACATTTAACGCCATGGCAGGTATCATTCAAAATGAAGAACAAGGAGGGAAAAAAGATACACGGAGGAAAAGATACAAACACAGAAATAAAAGACGCCAGTACCAAGTGGGGTGGGGTGGGTGGTGCCTCATGGGTAAGGTGCTTGCTACAGAGGTGTCACCACTGGGAACTCTGGGGGAGTCTCATGTTAGGAGTGTCACTGGGGGGATCAGTGTTCCCTCACTGGTCTCGTGAGTCAAAGCATTTAGGAACAGACTGTCGGAAGCACAAGGAGAATTTTATTAGAGTTTGAGAGAAAACCACAGGGCGGGCTGGAAATGTTGACAGCCACTGGGAAGAGGGATGCCGAGGGGAGAGAGGGAGGCCATGCCTTGATGTGGGCAGCTTGTTCAGCACATGGAGGTCAGCACATGGCCACATGGTGGGAGAGGTCAGGGTCGATGTAGAGAAAGAGCAAGAAAGCTCCAAGTGCCAGAAGAAGCATGTCTAGGTTTCAGCTATATCCGAGAGAGACGAGAAAAGTCGCTTCGTGTGAGAAGAGGCGTGTGCTGGCACACCAGCGTCTTTCCGTACGTCTGCCCACATCTCTGCTCTCTGCCACTGGACATCCTTCTGCGAGCTCTGACTCACCAGCTGGTAACTCACTCATGGCAGAGCCCAGAGCAGTCGAGTTACCTTTCCCCAATGGTTTCGACATCGAGTCGCTCTGCTCAACTCATTGGGTCTGGATCACACCCCAGAATCAGAAAGTCCTGACTCTGGCCCCGTCTGGATCACAAACCTCCCCACCTTGGGTAAGAAGGTTGGAGAGAGATGGTCTCCCAGCACATAGATGCTGAACAGGCAAAATCACAGGCATCTACTACCCCCCGCCGCCAAGCACTCAACCGTGAGAGCTGCTGAGCAAGGTGCCTCCAAACACAGCTTGGAATACACAGACTCCATCTTTTCTACAGTATCAGGAGAACTGTATGTTATTTATGCCCGGTCTCATGTAGCCTAGGCTGGTCCCAAACTCACTATGTAGCCAAGGATGACCTTGAACTTCTGAAACCCCCCCCCCTTCCCCGGGACAAAACCCAGGCCTTCCGTGCACGTGAGTCAGGGACTCCTCTGAAACTTTCTCAGTATTCCCCAGCATATAGACAGGACCCGGAGAAACAGAGAGGTCATTTAGCTTGTGCTTGGCCACACAGCAAGCTGAGATCCAAACCCACAGCCTGGTTTCTCTGAGGTTCTGTCCTCAGTTATCTTTACCTGGTCTGGGGAAGAGACAGGAACTGGCTCCTCCCTGATGCCGGGAATCCTCAATGCTGATGTTCCTGTACTGCTGCTCCACCCGGCCTGGCCCATGATGGCTACTACCTGAGGAAAGAGAATTTTAGCAAAAAAAAAAAAAAAAAATTGTCGTGCTGTCTCTATGGGGACTGAGGAAGAGAGCTGGGGGTGGGAGGTGGAGGGGACGCGACCCTGAGCTCCACTAGTTCCTTGTAGCATAGGAAGGGGTCTTTGGAAGTTGGCGACTCATTCTTGGCTGTACCGGCCAGTGGCTACCTCCGTCTTCCTTTGGCCTTCTGTCTTTCTATGTGTCTATCCTCCACCTCAGTCTCACAAGGACACTTGTCACTGGATTTAGCATTCCCCGGGGAGTCCAGGAGGATCAACGAAGATTGTTTTTTTCCAACTATGGTCCCATTAAATAAGGTCCTGTTCACAGGTTCTGAGAGACTAGGATGCGTGTGTATGCGTGCGTGCGTGTGTGTGTGTGTGTGTGTGTGTGTGTGTGTGTGTGTGTATGAATGGTGTCTGTGTGTGGTGTGTGGAGTGTGTGTGGGGTGTGTGTGTGTGTGTGTGTGTGTGTGCATGTATGTATGGTGTCTGTGTGTGGTGTGTGGAGTGTGTGTGTGGTATGTGGTGTGTGGAGTATGCGGTGTGTGTGGTGTGTGGTGTGTGTGTGTGTGTGTGTGTGTGTGTGTGTGTGTGTGTATGAATGGTGTCTGTGTGTGGTGTGTGGAGTGTGTGGCGTGTGTGTGTGTGTGTGTGTGTGTGTGTGTGTGTGTGTGTATGCAAGTATGTATGGTGTCTGTGTGTGGAGTGTGGTGTGTGGAGTGTGTGTGTGGTGTGTGTATGAATGGTGTCTGTGTGTGGTGTGTGGAGTGTGTGGTGTGTGGAGTGTGTGGCATGTGTGTGTGTGTGTGTGTGTGTGTGTCTGTATGTATGGTGTGTGTGTGTGTGTGTGTGTGTGTGTGTGTGTGTGTGTGTGTATGTATGCATGGTGTCTGTGTGTGGTGTGTGGTGTGTGGGTGTGTGTGTGTGGAGTGTGTGCATGGTGTTTGTGTGTGTGTGGTGTGTATGCGTGTGACACTGTCTCTTTTATTGCCCTGTGTCTTTCTCTTTTGTTTTGCGGTTTTCGGCCCCTTTCTGGAAGGTACATGTTGCTGGCTTCTGTGGTTATTTTCGCCTAGCAGCTGTGTTTCCGGCAAGCAGCTGAGGGGTTCTTCTGACTCAGCAAAACCAGAGTGGTAACTGTCAAGAAGCCGCTCAAGCGGGGCTGGAAATAAAGATGCCGTTCCTCCAGCATCACCCCCCACCGCCCAGACTCCTTTCACTTCCTTCCCCGTGAGTACCTTTGAAAGCCTCATAAAGTGCTTTTTAAAACCTGCCTCAACCTGTCTGCTCCAGACCTGAATGAAAGTTCCTTGGCTAGGCTTTGCTAAACAGTAGATTCTGGAATAGGAGGCATCGGGCTCCTGTTCCTCCTCCACCTCCCCCTCTTTCACCTCCCCCTCCTCGGTAGACTTGAGTGTCTTTTCCCACGGGGGGCCTTGAAGTGAAAGCAGGATTAGTGGGACCTCTGTGGCTTCCTGGGGTGTGGCCTTCCCCCAGGCTGCTGCCCCAGGAACCTGGGGACATCCACCAGCATGCACTTGACTGAGTTTCATGGGGGTCATCTGGCAGCTTGCTTTGTCCACACACTGGCCCAGGATCCTCACCCCCAACTTCAGACAGGAAGGGAATGAGATGGGAAAGGAATCCTGGGGCACCTAGGAGCCTGCAGAATGCTCCCGTGCAGAGGCTGCGAGACAGTTGCCCTCTGAGCCACGAGGCTGCTGTTCTGAGAAAGAAAAGGAACAAATAATTTTAGCTCCTTCCTACGCATCCCTTGCAGCTGCTGATTGACTAACCGAAAGAGGCTGTCTGTCTCAACCCCCACTCCCCAGCTTGGACTGAAGGAGCCCAGCTAACCCTTCTTACAAGGGACTTGTGCAGGCTCCCGCCTGATGGGGGCATCTCGCCTCAAAGAGGACTCCATGGACAGTGCAGTTCAGTGTGTGTATTTGTGTCTTTTTTTGCCATCCTGAAACAAGACGGCGTTGGGAAATATTGCCCCATGGGCTTGGGGGTCCTGGAATTTCTCACTAGGGAACGGCTTGGGAGCTGAAGCCAGCAGGGAGCTCCCAAAGCAGTTGGTTGGTTTCGTGGTACAGTTTGTGGAAAGAAAGAAGTTGCTGATGAGGCTTGAAGGAAAAGACTGGAACGGAGCACTGAGCCCTGCGGGATGGGGTCCAACTAGAGACATGAGTTCCGGTCCCCTGTGACTATGGAATGCCTCTGGGTAAGGAGTGCTCATACACTGTGTGTGTGATGTGGCCTGGATGTGGAACCCCCTGGATCTCGGTTTCATTTCCTGGAGAGCAGGAATGAATCAGGGTGAACACCCAGACCCCTACCTTTCTCTTCCTTCTTTCCCATCAGGTCTCACACAGCCCATCTACCTTTGAACTCAACACATAGCAGAAGATGATCTCAGACTTCTCATCCCTCTGCATCCGATCCTGAGTGCTAGGATTACGGGCCTGTGCTGAGGATGGGACTCGGGTGTAGCAGGCTGTCTTTTGGGTTACCAACCAGCTCCCAAATCATGACACAGAGACTTCTTATTAGTTATGAATGTTCGGCCTTAGCTTCTGCTCGGTTTTGGCTAGGCTTTTTTCTTTAACTTAAATTAACCTGTCTCTTATCATCTATGTTTTTGCCTCAGTGCTTTTTACCTTTCTTTATTATTGTATGTCCTACTCTGTGTCTGCTGGCTGGCGCTGGCTGGCGCCGGCTGGCGCTCGATGTCTCCCATCTTCCTGGTTCTTTTGCTTGTCTTCTACTTACTCTCTCTGCCCTCCAGCCCTGCCTATCCCTCTACTGCCTAGCTATTGGCTGTTCAGCTTTTTATTAGACCAATCCAGTGCCCTAGGTAGGCAAAGCAAATGCAACACATCTGTACGTTGTTAAACAAACGCAGCATAAACAAATGTAACACATCTTTACACAGTTCAAGTAATATTCTGCAACATAAACAAATGTAACACATCTTTACACAGTTAAAGCAATATCCCTCAATATAAACAAATGCAACACATCTTTACATAGTTAAAGTCCTATTCCAGAACACCCAGGGCTTCGAATGGATTTTGCTAACTGAACTGCTCTCTCGACTGAGAACTGGGTTGTCTGGGAGGAAATAAATGGCACTCAGCCTACTTCTTAGTGAGCCATGGTGGTGTCTGGTGAGCTCTGCTTTACCTGCCTGTCACGTGACCGCAGCTCAACTCTGTCTCCCCCACTTTGCACGAGATCGGCTGGTCCTTTTACCCTCAAACTCTAGCAGCAAGCAGGAGGCCCAGGTGTGGTCACAGTCTTCCACAGCCCTAACCAGAGTGATGCTGGGATGTCTGTGAGACTCGGGCTGGCACAAGGGAGCCAACTTCCGGAACTCCTGGGAGAAAAGGCATCTTACAGTTAGGATTCCAAGGGGTCCCGTGGCGGCTGTCTATATTACAGAGAGGAGAACTGGCCTGAAGATGAAGCAGATATGGAGAGGCTGCAGGCTGTCACAGCACAGCTCCCCACACCTGTTGCCACCAAACCTGTCCCTTCCTTTGGGCCTCGGAACTATATTATGGGGTAGGGCCCTTATTTGGGGAACTGAGAGCAAGCCCAAAGAAGATATGTGGAGCCCTGGGCTTCAGTAATACAAAGTGGGGAGGGGTGTGTTAAACTCTAAACCAGTGAATCCCAGATGCCACTGTGCATTGCCCTCTTACCCCCATCCCCTCCACCCCATCCCCCCACCCCCATCCCTCAACCCCCATCCTCCCCACTCCCATCCTTCCCCAACCCTGCACAATGCCTGGGAGGCATTTTTGCAGGTGTTTCTGCATGCAGCAATTGATTTTGAAAGTCACATGACACCCAGGACAGGTCCTCCACAGGTCTCTCTGAAGAACCAGCACCCCAGAACCCATCCAAAAGGAGGACAGACAAGTAGACTTGGGGTGAGGCGTGGGGAGCTAGACACAGCTCAGAGTTAAGAGCGCTTCCTGCTCTTGCAGAGGACCCAAGCTTGATGCTCAACACTTATATTGGGCAGCTCACAACCTCCTCTAACTCCAACTCCAGGGGAGGATCTGGGTACTCTTCTCGTAGCCTCCTTGGGCTACCACACACATGTGGCATACACAAACACCACACACACACACACACACACACACACACACACACACACACCAATTTAAAAAAAAAAAGAAACCTAAAAAAAGCAACCTTGAGGCTGTAAGGTTTCTGAGTCTCTGGGCTATAAGGGAGGCCTGTGCCTGTGCCCTGGCCTGCGCCCATATACTTTTGGTTCCTGTTACTTCTGTGCCCCAACTCCTTAAATGGAGTCATGGGACAGTACCCTTCCCATGTGCTCACAGCCCCCAGGACAGGCTGGGTTTGGCACCTGCTCCTGCACCAGCGGATCCTTCTGCCGACACCCTCCCCACTCAGGCTCCCGTTCCTCTGTGGTCACCAGTAGACCAAGTGTCGCTGCTGTGTCCCCCTCCATGACCACATGCTCTTGTCACCAGGAACTTTCCCCTTTTGCAGATTTTGGAGCCCACTTGAGCACGCTCCCAGGGGCCTGTTTCCATTCACACTGCTCATTTCCCGCCTGCTCAAGGTCCCTCGGTGTCTCTGTGCTGGATGGCTTTTACTTTCATCCACTCTTAACCACTTCTTGATGCCTCCTGCGGGCAGTGACTTCGGCATCTTCAAGAGAAATCCTTCCAGCCCACTTTCCTGGCTTGGGAAACAGTGTTACTCTGAGCGTGGAATTAAAAACCAGTATCTATGAACGACCTGTCCATCTCCACGTCATTCCTGCTGTTTTGGAGTTTTGCTACATTCTTAAGCTCTTCTGTGATGATGCATGCAAAGCCAGTGGCCTGGGTTCGAGTTCTGTCTCCCGTATCCCATCTGATATCTGCCTATATCACTTCAGGTTATCTATCTCCCTTAATCACAGACACGGAGGTCCCCTCTGGATCCTTGCTATGAGGAACACGCCCACCACCAACATCACCCTGAGTGTTCCTTGTGACCCTCTGTGGGCATCTCAAGAACGCACACCTCTGTATGGAAGACTTAACCCACAGGGCCTCAGGACGTGAGCTTGTTTGGTCGCAGGATAGAACTTGTTAAGGGACAGCCTTTACCCTCCGACTGACTACCGCCCTTGGAAGGAAAGCGTGGCATGAATGCAAACACTCCGGAGAAGCCATGTGATAGCAGAGGCAGAACTCAGTGATGCAGCCACAAGCCAAGGAATACTGAGGATTGATGGCCACCGTCAGAAGCTAGGGAGAAGCAAAGGAGGATTCTCCACAGAGACTCATGGGAGTAGTTCCCTCCTGACATGGATTTCTCCAAACCTTTGGAACTCAGATCTTGTATCCGTCAGGGTTCTCTAGAGGAACAGAACTGAAAGGATGAATATATACATTAAGACAATGTATTGAATCAGCTTACTTCAAAATAGTGACAATAGTTGAATCACACCCAAGGGGCTGAGAACCTAGTAGGTGGCCAGTCCTTGAGACTGGGGGCCTCGGCATTTGGAATAATCCTACTGTGGCTCTCACTGGAGAGGCTGAGAACCCAGTTGTTGATCAGTCCGGGATGCCGGGCACCTCAGCAGTCCACTCTGGAACTGAAAACCTAGAAGTTTCCTGAAGAACCTCTGGTCCTTGGTCAATGACGGATACTTGGAAAGGCAGGTCCTGGTGTCACTGAAGGAGTCAGCAGCAGCAGCAACAATAGAGTAAGCCAACTCAGTGGAGAGAGGGAAGATGATTATCCATCTGTCCTTCCATCCATCCACCCACCCATCCATCCATCCACCCATCTATCAATCCATCCATCCATCCATCCATCTATCCATCCATCCACCCACTTATCCACCCACCCATCCATCCATCCATCCATCCATCTATCTATCCATCCATCCATCCATCTATCCATCCATCTGTCCTTCCATCCATCCACCCACCCATCCATCCATCCACCCATCTATCAATCCATCCATCCATCCATCTATCCATCCATCCATCAATCCATCCACCCACTTATCCACCCACCCACCCATCCATCCATCCATCCATCCATCCATCCATCCATCTGTCCGCCTATCCTTCCATCCTTCCATGTATCTATCATCCATCTAGTCATCTATTCACCCATACATTTATGCAGACATCATTTATTCATTGCCTATCTCTCCTCCACCCACATGTCCATCCATTTACCTATTCTTTATCTGCCTAGTATCTATCCATCCTTCCATCTATTCATCCATCTACCCATCCATCATTAATCCATACATACATCTGTCGATTCATCCATCATCTATCCATCCATCCTTCCATCCATTCATCTATTCACTCATCTATCTCTGTAGTCATCATCTATCCATCACCTGTCTATTTTATCTGTCATCCATCCATTTATCTATTCTTTACCCACCTAGTATCTATTCATCCTTCCATGTATTCGTCTATCTACTCATTCATCATTAATCTACCCATCTTTCCATCTTTCCACTTCTACTGTGGGTCTTCCTTTACCTCAGTACTAGAGTCACAGTAATAATAATGAAAACAAATGAATAGGCCTTCTCTGTTGTGGAACTCATCATTGGTGAGGGCAAGCCAGACATTAAACTAATAACGATAAGCTCCAGGCCTATGAGCTGGAGACCTGATGGCAGGGTCCTGGGGATCCCGAACATCTTCATTGCACGGTGATGCTAATGCTGGAATAAGGGTGGAAGCGGGTGTATGCCGAGCCCCACCCTCGGCAGGCAGGTGCATGGTTTGAAGGGAGGCAGGCATTGTTTATGAGGAAGTAAAAGAAGCCGGCTTTGCTGGTGTGTAGGGGAGGAGAGATGACCCAGGGTGCTCGAGCCTCGGTGTCCCTCGGCTCTGTGCCTCCAGGGGACCCTCACAACAGATTGGGACTAAGAATCGGTTCCAACACTGTGACCCACTTCGAGGCCAGCCTGGTTCCGTGTTTGTGCCAATCCCTACTCCACAGAAGGGGTGAGAAGCAATACGACTCCTCCAGAAGGACTTGGAGGTCCTGAGAGGAAACTCAACTGTGTAAAGCCATTCATTTGCTGTTATTCAAAAGTCCCACAAATTGAACACACAAAGCAGAAAAAAGGTAATGGCTTCATGTTCCAGTCCCTGGCTGCTTAAGTCTTCCTGGATCGAGGGGCTGGTGTGAAGCTCTAGATATTTGTCTAGTTCACACTAGAACTCTGCAGGCAGTGAGGTGGACTGCGGCAGAAGCCACTATGGAGACGCTGCTTCCAAGGTCACTCTGTGAGACAGAGAGCCTGGGACAGTGACAGGCTGCCCACTTCTTGGCCCACTGACAGGCTTGGTGTGGCCAGACCAGGCAGGTGTGGAGCATCGCTGTAATTGGGAAGGCCCCTCAGAGCTTACTTCTCCCACGCAGATTCACGGAGTAGAGAACAGCACTTGAACTTGGAGCTTGTTAGGGGGTGGTCTGTCATGCAGACTGTGAAAACAATCAGCTGGGTTTCCATCCCTTTTGGGGAGTGGAGAGAGAGAGAGAGACAGACAGAGACAGAGACAGAGAGAAAGAGAGAGAAGACAGAGAGAGAGAGACAGAGAGAGAGACAGAGAGACAGAAAGAGAGAGAGGCAGAGACAGAGAGAGCACCCGATCAGGGCTAAAAGAGCCGGCCTGAGATTCAGCCACTCAGGGTTGTCAATAACTGGGTTTTACGGATGTGCAGATTCATAGAGCTGTATTTTAGTGCCTCTCTATCGATTGAACTATCATTTCAGCTCCATAGCTCATAGCTAGAAAGCAGCCTACAGACACCCCACATTATGACGCTGCCCTCCTTGTTCAGGACACCATATTCCATTAGGAGCAGAGCTTGATGGATGGTCCTGGTGTGGTAATCTTGCTAAGCAATTACAGTGCCATCCTATTAGTGGGAGACACCACACACACACACACACACACACACACACACACACACACACACACACACTCCTGTACAAGCGAAGCTCTGGGTATAAGGAAGATCTGGGGAGATCCAGTGCAGGCAAGCAGGTCTGAGGGGTCAGCCTTCTGGGATATAACCAGTTGTATCTCCAAAGCCCTTAGAAGGTTACAGATCCTCTTGCACGGTCTGACCCCAGCAAGCATGGAGAGTTCACTACTGGGCTCTGTGGTAGGGAGATGCCAGGGCCTTGAGCTGTATAATTCCTGCCTCGTGGAACTTCTGAACCTCTTAGGAGGGGAAATTGATCCTAGATCATAGAGAGATGGATAAAGCAGAAACTGATCGATTGATCAGCAGTCAGCTGCATGGCAGGCTGCGTTCGTTCACCGCTGTCTAACTAAAGCCAAGATCAAACGA